AGGAGGATATCAGAAATGTCAAACAAGGAGAACTTGGAGGAATGGCGAGGGAGAAAGTGGAGATGGGCAAGCTTGCCCGGGTGAAGCTGCAGAACACAGCGTGACACTTCGAACGACTTCGAAAGGTTGAATCACAGAGGCAATCTGCCACGCCGATGGGCCTGGGTATTGTGCAAAGTTGCCCACCCGGTATTGAGGGCACACTGGGTAAAACAGCGTCCAGGCCCAGGCCCCAATGACGAGGTCCAGATTGCAATTTTGAACACGGGACTGACAGGGGCAAAACACAAAGCATTAGGCCCAGAAGGGCATTCCTCTCTACCCAGTGTCACATCTTAGGGGCACTTTGGCATATATCTCAACTTATAGGGGTATTTTGCAAACTATCCCAGTAAAAAAATAAAGAAGGAAAGAAAAGAACAATTCTGGCTGGCCGGAAGAGCGTGGATAGCACAGCTCTAGGGGTCAGAAGGCTGCAAGCATGGTGCCATCTTGTGGTCATAAACAGCCTCAAAGTTTGGCATATTATTAGAAGGAAGGATGCCAAGGATAACCGCGATGGCAGGGATGATAGCAGGGCTGTGACGCCCAACCTCACGCCCGGAGCGACTTCCTGTTCGGAGTGCGAGTGGGCCTGGACGTGCGAAAGGGGGTGTGCCAAGGGGGAGGGCGGGAGAGACGAAGTGCAAGAAGAAAGATACAGTTACGATGGCGCCCGCCCAAAATTACAGTTACACACGCGATCAAGGGCGCCCACTAATCCGAATACCGTTGCAGGCGCATGAAGAAGCGCGTAGACAAAAGGCGCCGCGCAACAGAAAAATCCTAATTACTGAAATCCTAAATTCCTATCTAATGCGAAAAAGCAAAAAGCACGAACTTCAGGGGGAAAGTCCGAGATTCCAAGAGTTATCGGGGCTCGACAAAATTGAAAAAGAAAGTTTTAAAAAGAACAAGGCAAGTTCCCGCGCGATGTCCGCGCCCAAAAGACCGAAACTGAAACGGAAGAAACGATGTCAACATTTATTAGTAGCGCGAGCGGTGGCGCGCCAGCCATCAACCGACCAATCAATCAACCGGCCGTCCCCGGACACACCCAGCTCCGAACCCAGTCATATGAAAATAAGCGACGAAAAGGACGAAAAAGCAAGGGCACATATGCAATTTTCCACCGATCTCGATCTCCCGTAATTGGCCCAGGCTTCCCAGCTTAGGATCCCTCGTTGCATCCACGCAGAAAATCGCGCCTTACAGAAAGTGGTTCGTCATATATGTGATGCCCAGGGGGTTCCAATATTAGCAAGCTCCTGCTTGCTTGTTGACACGTGTCGATTTCTCTAATCGATCGACATGCGGAGCACTTCTCTCTATGCCACTTACCGTTCAATTGTATGTGGACGTCGTCCAACGTGGCAACATTGCTCTTCTACTAATTCCTCAGATTGGGCTCTCGACAATCCAAGGACGGGATCTTTCTCGTTCCGTCGCCGCGACATGCGTCCATTACCGTTGCATCAGTAATTAACCGGGAGCCTAAGGGGGAAAGGAAGGCGATACGCGTATGAGGGAGGGCGAGGCGGCTCCATCGTAAGTTCGTGTATGAAGCGCCCGATCGCGGTGAGGTCGTGGGGAAGATCTTGAAAACGGAGGATGCGATGAAAGCGGGGGAATCGTTGTCCGCTGCGGGGAAGGGAAACGAGGTAGTCTGGGTAAAGGGAGACGAGGGTTCGGAGGACGTCGGTGCGAAACCAATCATGGTCTTCGCACGTGGGGAATGTCCCCGTGACGATGCAGTAAACTTCTATGTGGTTACGGCCTCGCCACGTGGCGCTAAGGAGTAGAACGTGGAGGGGGTAATCGGGGACGGCGCACCGAACGGAAGGGTGGGGATGGACAGTCAGCTCTTGGCGGGCGGAGTAGAAGTGTCGGAAGGTGGCGATGGGGAAGGGATTAAGGGGGAAGACGACGCGATGAAGATACTGATTGAAAGAGAGATGGCTAAGGGGACAGTGGTATATGGATCGGGGACGAAGGGCGAAGCCCCTCATCGACACGTTGACGAATTGGGGGATGGGCGGAGGCGGAGGGGGATGAGGATCGGGATCGGGGTCGACGCCTTGTCGTCCCGGCGCTCGAGGTCGTGGCAGCAAGGTCCCCATGTTCCGGCTTGGGCGGCTCGGGATCCTTGGAAGGATCGTTCGGTGTGGGGTCGATCACTGGTTGTTTTCCCTCCGCGACATCTTTCTTGTGCTGCGCAACGGCCTCAGGATTTTCCTCTCGATGATCCGGTTTTGGCACCCACTCGAGTTTGTCGTCGAGCGCTGGCTCCCGATCGTCTTCTCCGCTTTCCACTCCCTCGTCGTCGTCTTCGTCCTCCTCTTCGTCACTTTGCTCCCCCTCACTGTGCTCGCTATAGGCTTCCTCTTCTTCTTCTAAAGTCTCCCCCTCTGCTTCTTCTTCTTCTGCTTCGCGCTCCTCTTCCTCGTCCTCGGCCAACCGCGCCGCTGCTTCTCCGGCCTCTCTCCTTAATTCTCCTTCTGATTCTTCTTCTGCTTCTTCCTCCGCCCTCAGCGCTGCCCACTCCAACGCCGTTGGTTGCCGAAAGACGCGGGGGTTAGTTAGGCTGTGGACGTCCAGGTACTTGCTGCGAGATGGGAAGCGGCAGTCTGCCCAGCGCTCCTCAATACAAGCCGACCACTGAAGACTCGGGGCGAGAGTCCTTGAGAGGACATGCGGCACGGGCTCTTCGTCACTCTGAGAGACGATATCGAGGGGGAGCTCGTCGGCCAGTCGCGCGATCACGATCGTAAGTTCGCGCACGATCTGTGATGGGTATCCCCGATCCACAGCTCCAAAGACGAATCCCAGAAGGTCTCCCGTCACGTTAGTTCTCCACGCCTGAATGATGAGCAACTCCACGGTTTCTGACGCGGGCCTCTGATCGCCTTCCCACGTCCAGTTCAGATCCACTCGTAGCAGGCAGAACGAGAGCTCAACGAACTCTGCACGCCACAGCCTCCAACGATCCCGATCAACGATGGGTACTGTCAGAGGCTCCAGGCAGAAAGAGAGTTGGGGGTAATGAGAGGACTGCCAGAAGATGGGGAAGAGCGAGGAAGGGAAAAACGTTGAGATCGGCGCGCGGCTCATCTGCGCGGCTGGAAGGGGGCAAGATCAGGGAGGACGATAGGTGGTTCGCGCAGCGTTGTGCGCAGCGTGTTGACTTCGATGCCGTCGACAGGATAGCACTCGTCCCCGTGCCTTGTGAGCCGTCGATCCCAATCAGTGGCCAGATCACGACCCCACTTGTACAAGGTGCTCTTGATGGCGGTTTGCCGCGCCGGATCGAAGGTGGTGATGTCGCCGCTAAAGACTACCACGGTAGACATGTGGCTAATACCCGGAGTCGCTTGCCGTTGGAACGCCGTTGCCTCGGCCAGCACCACCACCTGGGGATCGCTTGTGAACCGGAACTCTGCCGCGCCGTACACACCCGAGGTGCAGAAGAACTGCGCAAGGCGCAAGAAGTCGGGGCTGATCCGCGGATGATGCACTTGGCGGATGGATGAGATCTCTCCCCGTGGCATCAGCAACTGATCACCGAAAGCCCGCTCGTTGGCGAAGCTCATGGCGATGGCGGAGGTGACGGGGTGTCAGAGAAGGGGCAAGAGGAAGAGGAAGATGCCGGAGAGATAAGATCGCTGCCGTCGGCTTCCTCTGAGGGAGAGACCGATGAAGAAGGAGATGGGGTAGAGGGGAGGAGGCGAAGATAGGATACGTGGCGTGTGATCGGACGGGCCGATCGACTGCCAGAGACCTTGGGGGCAAGACGCACGGTGTCCACGCCGTTAGGCCCGAGCAGCCCCGAGCTCGATCACCCGATATCACCCGAAGAATCGTGGCGCTAGCTTACCTTGGCGAGCACATTTCCTTACCTGCACTACATCCCCCAATTTGTACTGGGGCCGCGGACCCGCATTCCCATTTCGGGCCTCGTAGCTTCGGACCTGTCGGCCATGGGCTAGTTCGGTCATTTCTGTCGTTTTCGGGCTAGCCTGGGCAGTGACCGTTCCATTAGCTCTAGGTGTCGTTTGTCCTTGTCCCGAGCCGTGGCCCTGGTGGGCCGTCGGCTCAATGTAGACTCATCTGGGAGGCTTGGTATCGAAACGCAAGCGACGCTATTGGTCCTTAATTGAAAGGGGCTTAACCCCGTCGATTCGTGGGGCGTTCCGCGGTGGACCACCAGGATGTGATCGACGATATCGGGCCAGGGCCTTGGATCCCGTGCCGCAATATTTCGACGCAATATTGTCTTTGTCACCCGGTTAGCGTTCTCGGCCAGCCCATTGGATTGTGACATGTGGGGTGCAGTGTTCCGGATGGCGACGCCATGTAGGACCAGATTCCTTAGCACCTCTCCCCTGAATTCAGCCCCGTTGTCGGTCAGGATCTCTTCCGTATCTTGATGCATCCCGAGGAAACGGTTGACGTATCGCACGATTTTCGTGGCTTGCCGTGTGCGACAAGGGTACGCCTCGATCCATTTTGAGAAATGGTCGACAAATACCAATAGGACTGAATATTCATAGCTATTAGGGCCAGGAGGTACCACTATGTCGGTAGTATCCATGCTTACTCTTTGAAACGGTCGTTCAACTATCGTGCGCACTATCGACCTTGGGGGCTGAATCGGCGTTTTATCAGTGGCGCAGACTTGACAGTTGGCGACGATGTATTTCACATCGTCGCGGATATTGGACCAGTACTACTCATTTTTGTCGATAGCGGACTCCGTGATTCGTACAGCAAAATGAGCCGCAGTTTCCTCGTGCGCTGTCTTAACCCAGTCATACCACATGAATGGACGCGGCACAACCATCCAAATCCCACTGCCGTCTGTTTTCCGTTTTTCTAATCTGCCCTCTATCCATCTGTAATCCCGAGCCCTCTCGTTGGCCCTCCTCTGATCTTCCTTGGTGAAATCCTGGAGGGGGTTGCCAACCAAGGTGGCAATCAAGGCAATATCAACCCATACTTCGGCCCTTCTAAACTTCCGGGTATTTTCCAACCCTTCTGACGTGGCATCCAAAAAGCGAGCCTCGGTCGGAATCTTGTCGGTCCGGCACAAAGGGCACAACCATGGTTTACGGTCGTTTCTCTATTGGATGCACGAGTCGTGGGCTCGTGCAACACACTGTCGGCAATCTATCCAATCAACATACCCTTCCCCGTTAGGACGCATGGAGACCGAGTATACGCGGGAGATAGCTTCGCAAAAATAGCAAAATTTGTCAGGCAGGGAGAGGAGAGACGAGGAGGACAGGGGAGAGAGAGGGGTAGTGGGGTTACCTTCATCACCCATCGCCACCGTTTTACTTCTTGCCACGTGGGAGGACTGCCACTTGTCCGTACTTAGGCTCGTTGGTCAGGTCCGACTCTTTCCACGGTGTAATTTCCTCGCCCTTTGGTACCTTGGCAGGTCGATGCAGACGTGTCAGCCCGTCCACGTTGCCGTGTCGCTCCGTCTTTCGATGGACGATATCGAAGTCGTATTTTTGCAGCCGCACCGCCCAACGGCCAATCATGCCCGTGTAGTTGGTGAGCTTCTTCAAAGCTAGCAGAGGCTTGTGATCCGTCACGAGGCGAAACTTCGGTCCGTAGAGATACGGATGGAAGTGCTGGATTCCCCAGACCACTGCATAGCATTCGCCTTGAGGTGCTGAGTCGTTTTTTCGTTTGTCCGGTACAGTGCGTGACGCGTATTCGATGACGTGTTCACGACCATCGCTCCCCTTCTGCGCTAAAATAGTGGAGATAGCTTTCGGTTGCCAGTCCGTGATGAGAATGAACTATTTCGAGGGGTCCGGCCGAATTAAAATAGGGGTCGTCGCGAGAGCGTCCTTGAGGGTTGCGAAAGCCTGTTGGCACTCCGCGTCCCAGTTGACAGGCTGGTCCTTCCTTAACAGATTCGTTAATGGTCGTGCAATCGCGGTGAAGCCCTTGATGAAGCGTCGGTAGTACGACGCTAACCCCAAGAAAGCTCGAACCTGCATCAGTGACGTGGGAACCGGGGCTTCTTTCACCGCCGCAACCTTTCTTGAGTCCGTCCGTAGTCCTCCACGTGTCACAACGTAGCCCAAGAACGAAATTTCCGAGAGGAAAAATTCGCTCTTCTCGAGCGCAATCTTGAACCCAGCGTCTCTCAATGCGCCCAACGTCCATTCGATATGCTACGCGTGCCCGTGATAGGTTTCCGAATAGACCAGGATATTGTTCATGTACACGATCACGCAGAAGTTAATCATCCCTTGCGTCAGCCGTGTCTTGTTGACGAAATTCTGGAACGCATGTTCATCGCTCGCTGAAATGTGGCCGGCGCGTTGCAAATCCCCATCGGACACCGAACCCACTGCCACGTGCCCTCAAACAACACAAAGGCCGTTTTCGGCCGATCTTCCTCTTTAACCAGAATGTGATGAAAACCATGCCGAATATCAAACTTGCTGAAATAATTGGCACATCCAATCGCATCCAACAAATCATCAATCCGGGGGAGGGGATACACATCTTTGATCGTGATCCATTCAGCTTTCGATAATCAATGCAAATGCGAATCGTTGTGTTTTTCTTGGGTACTAATACTACGAAAAATGACCAAGGTCCGGTAGCGGGTTCAATCCAGCCGCTGGCTTCGAACTCTCGAATTCGTTCAAGAGTCTTTTGTGTTCAATCAGCGAATACCGGTAAGGTTTGCAATGAATCGGGGAGTGATTTCCTGTCTGAATCTCATGTTGGCTTACTAATGATAAGCCGATGTCAGTGTCTGTCACACTAATCGCTCCTTGATATCCCGTTAGAATATCTGCAATCACCTGGTGCATTTCATTCAGTACGTACTGTGGAATATGTAGCTCGAATAGTTGGTTCCTGATCCGAACGTCAATCTGTTTCATGCGCGCTTGTTTTGCCACATCGGGTGGAGGCGCTGAGATGAAGGAATGGTCCGATCGCCAGGAGAACACCGTCGTCATCATCTAGGCATCTTCTTCCCGGATTGCCACGTGTCCTTCCGGGGTAACCCCGTCGCAAATATCCTGCCATGGTACGTTCCTAGTTGCGATCTTTATCCCCAGTTCGTCTGTTGCGGCTTCGAGATGCCCAGGGGGTTCCAGAGAACTTGCTTCCGCCCCCAATCGTAACAACCTCGCTTCCTTAGCCGATGTCAATAAGGATTTGGGTAGATCTGTAATGTCACAGTAATGCCTCTTGTCGTTATACCGGGCGAGGAGAGGGGTGATTCCTTCGTACAGAGTCTGAGGGGGTTCCAAAGAATCGACCATCCTCGAAATCTGCATGAGGGGCTCACCCAAGATCATCGCCTTGGTCCTTTGAATTTTTCGGCTGGTCAGTTGCATCATTCTCGCTATCGTTTTGGGCGGTGGGTAATAAACGCGCTGTCGTGCTAATTTCACGATCTCCGGATCATCTTCATCACTACTGTCCACATCATTCGTTTATAACTTTTCATCGGCGGGTTCATCCCAGGAAAGCATGCGGAGGGTCCCTGCCATCATCGGCGAAACCCGTGGGACCGTGTTAATGGTGGTACGAAGGGTCAATCGCATGGGCACAGCGTAGGGTTTTCCTCATGTATTTCGCAGGACAATCGATCTTCGTTCAAAATCCAAGTTTGCTCGTAGAGCCACAAGAGAGGGAAGTCCAAAAAGAACGTCGTACGTATTAACATCTAGTACTACGATATCTCCAAGCGCGCGCACTTTTCCTAATCGGAAAGCGACATTGGTCATTCTTACCATAGTCTTGATTTTTTCTTCATCTGTCGAAACGAGCTGATTTTTCTCAGTGAGCATGATCAGATCGTTTTTCCTACCAGCCCTTTCGACCACTCTCAGTGAAATAGCCAGCATAGCTGCTCCCGAATCTATAATTGCGTTGTAAGGAATTCCCCAAATTTTAATATCGCATTCTGCGGATTTCCACAGAATTGGTTTAATCCGTAGAAATGGTCGTCTTTCTGGATTAGACTTACCTGTATCGGATCCGAAGTGCCAGTTGGGTTTTCGTCGGGCATGGGGCTTTTGGCCTTTACGTTCGATGTTCGGGCAAGGGCGAATCGCTTTCGGTTTGCTTTACAATGTTGTAGCATCCGCTCATTAGCTTGCTCGGAGATCGAGAGTAGATGACCAATCGGAAGTGGAATCCGATGGTCCAAGGCTCGGACGATGTTTAATACATCGATCTCTCCTGTGACGAAGGTGGGTCCTCCCGACTCCATTTCTCCTAGAGACGGTTGCCACTCCGCCACCTCTTTTGGTTCTGGCGCTGGTCTGATTGTTCCGATCATACCAAGCCCGAGATAACCAAGGGATATGTATTGGTCTAGCGGTATTAGCTCGGCGGCTTCTTCCGTGGTGGCCAGGGCACTTCCCCCACCCTCTACTTCTTCCATCAAAGCTCCGACTCGTCCAGGTCCGTTAGCGATGGAGGCCGTAGCCATGGGCGCGACCCCGATCCGCTGTTGTGGGGGTCGGTGGGGGCAATCACGGGCTAGATGTCCTGGCTGATGACAGGAATAACAGATATTCAGATTATTCGCGGCTCCCCCGAGAGCAGGTGCCGCAGCTAATCCTTGTTGCATCGGAGGGGCGTGCACCTCAATAGGCCGCATGTTCCTTATCATGGCTTCCAGTCGAGCATTGTGCTCTCGCTGCTCCTTTTTGCTTTCCTTGATTAAACTAATCAATGTTTTGGTTAGTTCGAAATGACCGTTGATTCGTTTGATCGTACGGGAGCCTCAATCGGTGGCGGGGCTAATGCTCTGAC